TCACTGGTGCTAACCCCTGCAGAGCTGCCTGGCATATCTGCCTTGGGTCCAGGAGATGTTCCCAAGGCAGTGAGGACTGGCTGTGCTTCCTCTGTGCTGCAGCCCCTGCCTGAATGCAGCACCTGTGTCTTGTGCAGCACCCACGACATCCCCAGCCAGGCAGCGCCTTCAGCCTTTGCTCACGTCTAACCGAGACACTGCTCGTCCCTACAGCTGGTCCCTGCAGCTGGTCCCTGCACGTGGCAGTGCAGGAGCAGTTGCACTGGAGCTGCTGCAACTGGCAGTGCTGGCCCAGGGGTAGAGCTCTTTGGGAGAGCATGGGGAGCACAGCCAGGAGGGAGGGAAGAGGTTCCATTGAGGGTGTCAGTTACGTGCCACGCATGAGTCAGCTGGTGGTTTCAAGTGTCTGCCACTTGTGCAGAGGGCTCCATCCAGGGCCTGTGCTGGACCACCTGGGACACACAGCCAGGACTGCCCTTCCTTGCTGCCTCAGGGGCCCTTCACAGAGCCAGGTTTGTCTTGCAGGTGGTTCTGGACAACACAGCCTTGAATCGGATCGCAACAGACCGGCTGCACATTCAGAACCCGTCATTCTCACAGATCAACCAGCTGGTGAGAAGGACTTTCCCTCAGGAGAAACCAGCATGGGGTTTCCCTGCTCTGTTCAGTTTAGTCTGAACCAGCTTCACGGGCTGGGCTCAGGGCTGGGCAGCCTGGAGCTGAGTGAAGGTCCTGTGCCCTTCCAGATGCCCCAGCTTCCCTTGGCATGTCAGCATGAGGCTCTGTGACCCTCTGCTGACCCTGTCCTCTCCCCTAGGTGTCCACCATCATGTCTGCCAGCACCACCACGCTCAGGTATCCCGGGTACATGAACAATGACCTGATTGGGCTGATCGCCTCGCTGATCCCCACGCCCCGGCTGCACTTCCTGATGACAGGCTACACACCACTCACCACGGACCAGTCGGTAAGGCAGCCCCGGGCTCTCCTTCCCACCCCCAAGGGCAGAGAGGCTGTCACACTCACCTTGCAGCATCTGTCAGCCCTGTCTCGCTGTGAGCTGTCACTGCACGTCCCAAACGCCAGGCCCACGTGCTCACACGTGACTGCTGCATGTGCAGTGAATCAGACATGAGCAGGCAGTTGTGCTTGTGCCAGGCTACCTGCTGCATGCATCAGGGTGGCTGTCGAGATCATCAGGGTCAGGACTGGCAAAAGCTACCCTTAGCAGTGATGAGAGCAAGGCCAGGAGAGTGGCCTTGCCAGTGCTGCCACCCCCATGAGCCATCAGCTTTAGCAGACACTAATGCTCATGGTCACTGGTGGTGGACTACAGGTGTCAGCCCCTTCTTGATGCTCAGTCTGTCTGAGAGTGAATTTGCCATCCCTCTACACTTCAAGTGCTGCTTCTTGCATTTTGCTGGTCCCTAACCAGTGCCCCTCAGCCCCTGGGGGGGCATTTCTGTTTCGGGAGGTGCTCACCTGCACTGACCCACCACGGCCCGGAAGGAACTAACAGCTGCTCTTCTCCTCTCCCTGTGTGCATTTCCTCAGGATGTTTCTCAGAGAAGCAAATCTGAAAAACTGCTGGCTCTGAAAAGGGTATCAGTGTGTGATCTGTCCTCCAAGGGAGGAGTGCGGGCAGGGCTCAGCCAATGGCTCAACCGGTGCAGGAGGGGGCTGGCACCTCACCCAGCTGTCCCTCCTGTGGGCAGTCTGGGTGCTGGCCCTGGCTGTGTCCCCCCTGGCCAGCAGCAGCTGGGCAAAGCCCCAGCACCACTTGGGGAGTGGCCAGGCTGCCCATAGCTCAGAGCTGGGCAAGGCAGGGAGGTCATGCAGTGGAGAGCAACCCCTTTCCTGTTGAACCCCACTGCTCCCTGCCAGGCAGTGGGACAGGACCCATGTTTGACAGCAAAAACATAAAACAGGTCCCTGTCCCTCTGTTCTCAGTAGAGCTTCACCCCCAGCCCCTGCTGTGCTGCGAGCTGGAGGCCAGACAGCCCCAATGCTGGAGCCTCCACTGACACTCTGTTTCTTGGCCTGGCCATGCCTGTTGTGTGGTGTTGGCATTTCCCTGTCTAGCATGTGGCTTTGCATGTGACTCCATCCCCAGGGTGAGGGCATTTCTGTCTAGCTGCCCCCTGCTCCTGTGTGTGTGTGTGTGTGTGTGTGTGTGTGTGTGTGTACCAGGCAGCAGGAGGGCAGGGAGCAACACACCTACTCCCTCTGACCCCTGGCTGGCCTGTGCAGGTGGCCAGTGTGAGGAAAACCACAGTCCTGGACGTGATGAGAAGGTTGCTGCAGCCTAAAAACGTGATGGTGTCCACAGGGCGAGACAGGCAGACCAACCACTGCTACATTGCCATCCTCAACATCATCCAGGGGGAGGTGGATCCTACACAGGTGAGTCCCCGTGGCAGTTCAGGTGCTGATGGCCATGGAGTGGCTCAGGGAAGAACATGTGCAGTGCTTGAGAGCTGTCTTCAGGTTGCTCCTGTTTGGGCTTTGCCTCATGGAAAGGCTGCTGAAATCCACCTTCCCATGGCTGTGCTTCCTGTGAGGAGCAGCTCCTGGGTCTGCTGCGGCCATGCTGTTTGTCCCTCACTCTGCTGTCCCTTGCTGTTCTCATCCCACCAGGTTCACAAGAGTCTGCAGCGGATCCGGGAGAGGAAGTTGGCCAACTTCATCCCCTGGGGCCCTGCCAGCATCCAGGTGGCTTTGTCCCGCAAGTCCCCTTACCTGCCGTCCGCTCACCGCGTCAGCGGGCTCATGATGGCAAACCACACCAACATCTCCTCGGTGAGTGCCTTCCAGACCTTGTGTCCCTTCAGTCTGGGCCTGTCATGAAGCCAGGGACGGGGGTGGGTGGCTCCCAGCGGGGCTCAGTGTCCTCCCATCAGTCCTGCTGGCTTCTCTTGGGAGGGGTCCCTGGGGAGGGAGCTCTGCCCGCCTGACCCGGCGCTGCTCCCCAGCTGTTTGAGCGGACGTGCCGGCAGTACGACAAGCTGCGCAAGCGAGAGGCTTTCCTGGAGCAGTTCCGCAAGGAGGACATCTTCAAGGACAACTTCGACGAGCTGGACAACTCCCGGGAGATCGTGCAGCAGCTGATCGACGAGTATCACGCAGCCACACGCCCTGACTACATCTCCTGGGGCACGCAGGAACAGTGAGTGCCCTGCCAGGAGACGGGAAGGTCCATGGCCACCCCCACGCACGCCGGCAGGGCTCGTCCCTGCCGTGCCCACGTTTGTCACCCCTCAGCGCTGCCAGGTGCGGCAGAGCCCTCGTGCCAGGGCTCCTCTGTGGAAAGCTCTGCGGGCAGCCCGCAGCTCCTCGGCGGGGGGCAGCCCCCGCCCCACCGTGTGCCCTGGCCCAGGACAGGACTGGGGCAGCTGCGCGCTCTGCTGGGAGGGAACCTCTGCCTGTGGGAGCAACGCTTGCTGTGAGGAGGAGGAGAGTGACCCTGGGGCTGGGAACAGGCCTGGCCCCCCGAGTTTGGGCGCACGCAACCCCTGTGGCCAAAGGCTCCGTGTGGCTGAGCTAGTCCTTGCCCTGGGCAGGAGCCTTGTTCCTCCTTGGCCAGATCAGGCCTGGGGCACGGGCTGTATCTATATTTTTGTAGGTTATTTTGCTTTAATAAAGGCTGTTCCTGCACTGATGCTGGCTGCATGACTCCAGATTGAACAGCCAGGCAGGGAAGCCAGATTCAGAGACTGGGGTTGGTGCTTGCCTTGTCTTTCTGGCCAGCCAGCCCCATTGCACAGGAGTATCATGGCCACTGCTCACTGGCATATCCTGGGGTGTGCAGCCAGCTCTGCCCCAGCTAGCAGTGCCATGGGCCCCAGGCAGCACTGGGCAACTGCTGCAGCAGAGCCAGAAATACTGGCAGGACCTGCCGGCACGGCTGACCAGGGCTGGGACTGGCACCGCCCTGCCCGCAGAGCACACGGCACCCACATGGATATTCTACAGGAGTGAGGCCCTGTGCGGGGTGGGCCATGCGGGTCTGGGGGTGCCCTCAGCACTCAGCAGCCGAGGCAGGGGACAGCAACACCAGGAAGGACATGGGTGTCAGGCCGTACAGTGTCAGGGTTACGGACACAGCAGCTCTGGTCCTGACCTGTGGGAGTTGGGCTGTGGCCTGGGGACAAGGGGCAGTGCTGGCACCATCCCAAGCCCAGACAGCCCAAAGTGAAAATTAGCATTTTCCTCTTACTCTTTGGGGCACAGAGCAGGTGACTAAAAATACAGCCACCGTGGCAGCATGGGCTCCCACAGCCGTTTGGCAGCGGCCCCCGTGGCTGGGGCAGTTCCCCCCGCCGGGGCAGCCAGTGCCAGGGGCTGCCGGGGAGCTGGAGCTGCCTGTGCTCTTGGTGAAATGCCAAAGGTCGCCTGGCAATGACCAGAGGGACAGCAGTCCCTGCCCCCAGGGACACACTGTGCTGCTCCTCCCCGCTGCCTGTCCCGGGCCCTGCTGCCCTAGCTGCCCCAGGGATCCGACTGTCCCAGCCTCCTGCTGTCAGCCCACGCTCCAGGACAGGAGGCCCAGCCTTTCCTTTGTGCATTTATTTAGAAAAACAACCAACCAACCCCCCCCATCCCAAGACAGAACCAACAAACTCTACAGAGGCAACACTGAGGGGCCAAGCCCCAGCCGTACCAGCTGCCACTTCACCAGCCACCCCTGTGACATAAACCTGGCCACAGGGCCACCGCAGAGCCCAGCCACTCGTGCAGGAGGAGCCCGTGGGTCCCCAGGGCAGCTTGGCCAAAAGCCGCCCGCAGCTTTCCAGAAGGGGTGGGTCCAGAGGACGGACAGACAGATGATGGCACAGCACTACTGCCTGGTACCCTCTGCTCTGCCCGGGGCATGAGCAGAGTGGCCAGGCAACACAAGTGCTGGAGGCAAAGGCACCAGGGTATAGGGGACGGGGACAGGCCTGGGGGCAGCGTGGGGGACCGCAGCAGGGCAGTCCCACTGCCCGCCAGGGAAAGTGCTGGGAGACGTGGGGAGCACAGGCGTCTCAAAATAAATTAAGGGAATAGCCAGAAAGGCAATGGCAGTGGGGGAGCACGACCCCCTGGCCCCCTGCTCTCTGGAGCAGCTGGGGGCCAGCACAGACCTGCCACTTGCTGCCGGGCTTGGCTGCCCTCCCACGCCGGCCATGGGAGCACCTCCGTGGCCACACCAGCTGCTGGGCTAGCTGTGGGAGGAACCCACTGGTGGCCGGTGCTGCCAGGGCTCGGGTGCAGGGCAGAGCCCCTGGGGCAGCACACTGGGCTCCAAAGTGGGGGGACTGGTGGGAGGCTCCTGGGGCTGGGACAGCCGCTGGGCACCCGCAGAGGCGAGGTACGTGTTGAGGAGCTGGGCAATCTCATCCACCTGCAGGCAGAGGGGGCATAGGGGGTCAGGCTGGGACACCCTTGGTGACGGGGGAGGGTGGAGGGATGGCAGCTCCTTACCTGGGAGGTCTCAAAGAGCAGGTCTCGATCCTCCACGGAGAGGCGGAAGGTGCTGCTGTCAGAGGCACCAAAGGAGGAGATGCGGCCGTAGCAGAAGCTGTCCAAGGGCTCGGGCTCTCCCGGCTTGTAGAGTGAGACCGCCTTGGCCCCGATGCCCAGCCACAGGCGCTGGGGCCCAGGGCCCACTGGGCTCTGCAAGGGACAGGGGTGTCAGGGTTGTCCACTGCCAGGGCTGCCCCTGTACCACACCCAGCCGGGGCCTCACCGCTTGCAGGTCGACATCGAAGAGTGTGGAGCCGAAGCCAGGCCACTCCCGCACCAAGGCCACGTAGGCGGCCATGGCCTCGGGCCGGCCCATGCCCTGCAGCAGCTTCCACTTCTCCACGATGGCAGCCATGGTGCTGGCCCCCTCCTCACGCAGACGGCCCCGCAGGCGCTGGTCCCGCTCTGCTCGCTGCTTGGCCAGCGCCTGGCCCCAGAGCCCCCCGGCCAGCAGCCCTGCGCGCAGCCGGGCCCCCCGGCACTTGGCCGGGGGCCGGTGGGGCAGGGGCGGCAGGCGGGCGTGCAGCACGCGGGGTGGGAAGAGCTCCTCCAGGCGCGGGAAGGGCGCGTGGGTGGAGAAGTCGCTGTTGAGACTCTGCAGGCGCAGGGCCGCCAGCGTCTGCAGCGTCTCCTCCGACGTGGGCACGTAGCCCCGCAGCACCATCTCGTGTGCCTGTGAGAGAGCGGGGTGAGCCGGCACGGCCACCCCGGCACGGCACGGCACGGCCACCCCAGAGTGCCACTCACCTGCTCAAAGAGGAGGGCAAACTCCAGGCTGTCCCGTGGCACATTGTCCGTGTCCAGGAAGCCATAGTGCTTGAAGCAGAGCCGGCATGGTGGGTCCTGCTCCCGGTCCTCTCCAGCCAGGCTGCAGCAGACAGGACTGGCTCCATCAGCTTGTGGATGTGCCCCATACCCATCTGTCCCCTCCCACACGTGGCTCCCCAGCCCCTCTCCTCCATAGGCAGCAGAACAGGACATTTACTTTTCAAACCTGGTGAGGACATCAGCCAGCAGTGTGGCACTGCCCACTGGCTGCTCCCGTCGCCGGGACTGCTCGTAGAGCGCAAAGAGGTTGGGGCTCTGGGACAGCCCCAGGCGTGACACAAGTTCCTGGGCCACCTGGGCGAGACAAAGGCAACCGATGGTGACCACGTGTTCCTGGCCACGGCACTCAGGGCTGCAAAGGGACACAGATAGGTCATGGTGGGCAAAGGCAGACAGCTCCAGCCCCTCTCCACCACGGTTCAGCTGGGAGAGGCCCTGCTCACCTGCTGTGGCACACTGCCCACCCAACCCTGTGCATCAAAATGTCCCCAGCCCCCTGCACAGCTGTAACCCCTCACCTCCTGGGCTGTGGTGTGGGAACTGATGGCCACACTGCAGGCGGGTGCCCCAGGGCAGTGCACTGTGCAGATCATCTCTTGCCGCTGCATCAGCACCAGGATCTCCTCCAGAGAGGGCACGCACTCCCTCCCCTTCGTCTTTCCCAACGCCTCCCGGATGAAACAGGCGTACTTGGCCATCTCCGAGGCAGGGAAACGATTCTCTGTCCTGCAAGAAATGCCAGGAGGATCAGGGTGGCACTGATCTGAGTGGCGCCTGGCACCTGGCGAGCTCTCTGGCACCCCTGAGCTGGCACCCCTGGCACTCACCTGTCCAGGTGGAAGCGCAGGAAGCGCAGGACAGGCGGGGAGGGCAGGAAGGTGCAGCTCATGCAGGTGAGGAGCTGCCAGTAGTGCAGGTCGCCCTGCCCGCCCGGCGCCGGCGGCTCCGTAGTCTGCTTCACCAGCTGGCAGTAGATCTCATCCACCAGCGGCGGCAGGTCCAGGCAGGTCTGCAGGACACCCTGCATCAGCGGCACTGGGTCCCGCTCTGACTCCAGCTGCTGCAGCGAGTTGAAGAGCTTCACAGCCTCGTCGCGCAGCGTGGTGTAGCTGCGGGGGCCGGGGGCTGTGGGATGGGATGAGGGTTAACAGCCCCGTGGTCCTCCCCAGGACCCCTGCCAGCAGCTGGGCCCTGTCCTCACACCCAGGGCCAGCCGGGCCCCAGCCCAGCGCCTGCCTGTCCCGCACAGCATCCAGCCCAGCCATCACTGCCACCCTCCCAGAGTGTGGGACCCAGCTCTGTGCCCCCCACCTCCGCTCACCGCTTTGGTCCAGGCTGCCATAGGGGAAGGGCAGCAGGGGAGCGTAGAGGGGGCCACTGGTGTAGCGCAGGATGGGGTTGCAGCGATAGATCTGCTCCAGAACCTCGGGGCTGTCTCTGTGCTCCTGGGGGAGCAAAGCAATGGCAGCAGCTGCAGAGGGATAACCTGGCCGAGTGCCTGGCACAGACCCCCACCACCACCCTGGGGCATGCAAGGCCCCAAACATCCACCCCAGCGCTGCCTAGGGCTGTGGGCATGGGCAGCCCGGTGCCATGGGCTCACCTCGACATCACGCATGAGCAGCTGGGTGGGCGTTTGGACAGGGGCTTTGCTGTCAATGACCTTCTGCACGGCGCACACCCAGCGTACAGCCTCGTTGAGGTGCTCCGTGTACAGGCGGTAGCAGTGCTTCCTGCCAAATACCGTCACGCTCCAGTAGCCTGCGAGGGACAGACCCACTCACCCACTGCCTACCAGCACCCCAGCCAGGCTGGCTCAGCACCCCAGGGCTCAGCATAGCCTCTCCTCTGGGCAAAAGAGGCCCTCAGGGCTGGGAGGGTAACACAGGGCACGACTGTGCTGGGAAGACGCAGCCCAGCCAAGGGGCACGGGCACCTCACCCGTCTCCTTGTAGAGCTGCTTGTCTGGCCAGAGCACACAGCAGAGGCTGGTGAGCACCAGGGAGCCCAGGCGCCTGGCCCCCTTCTCGTTGCTGCTGTAGTAGTCCAGGGAGTCGGGCGTCAGCACGAACCAGTACTTCCGAGGACGGATCCAGGGGGTCTTCATGCAGCCCCGCATCTCCCTCTGCAGCCAGCCTGGGAACGGGAAACCCTCAGCCCTCACTGACATCCACCCCACCCCTTCTCAGCACAGGGAAGGGTCTGCACAGGCCCCTCATCCCTCTGGGATGGGACCAGCCACAGCTGGGGCACAATCCCACCTTTCACGAGAACGTCAGGGTCATCCTCCACTGGCCCTGGGCCCTTCTCCACGATGAGGCTGCGCATCTCCTCTGCAACAAGCAGGGACCTGAGGACAACGTGGGGCTGAGCTCAGGTACCTGCGGGGGTCTCACACAACCCCTGAGCAGGGAGCTGGCCTCGGGGCTGGGATGAGCTGGGGCCCAAGGGGCTCTGGGCACCCCACAGCCCTGCGGTGGGAACACAGCAAAGTCATTGGGTGCAAATGACCCCGGCTAAAAATAAGCTGTTTGCAGTCTTGGCCCTGCCAAGGAATTCGGAAAATGAACAACCAGGAAGGAATGTTGGCAGCAGCGTCAGTACTGCGAGCACAGCGAGCGAGCAGGCCCCTGTGCCCCGGCACCCCATCTTCCTCAGCACCAACCACCCCAGGGCACAGCCTCTGCTGATGGACACAGCCTGGCAGAGCCTCTTGGCACAGGAAGAGTCACGCACAGCCCCATCAGCTAAGCCTGCAGCAGTCAAGTATCCGGCATGGCAGGGGGATGGAGACATGCCTGAGGATGCGCCAGGGACGGGGACAAGCACGGCAGTCCCGGCTCTGCCGCTCCCTGCTCTACCTGACAGAGCAGCACAGCCTGGTGCTGGCTCAGTGGGCAGGATGGTTCAGCACACGCCAGCACCAGGCAACCTCCCACAACATGCCAGTCCCTCAGCTCCTGCAGCACTGCACAAGGGACACAGGGCAGGGGAACACTCACCGCTCCGAGCCACTGCTGCTACGGGTGGGCTGGCTCAGGCTCACCTCCAGGGATCCCTGGGGAGGAAGGAGACGTCTCAGTCCCACGGTCATTACCTGGCATTCCTGGGATCCTCCCGCATGACTGTATGCCTCCTCCTCAACCCAGCTCCGGGCCCAGAGAGACAAGCTCACATCCTGCTGCCATGGGGCAGGAGAGCCCTGGCACCCACAAGGCCACGGTAAGAGCCAGGGCTGCAGCTGGGGCACCCCGGGTGCGGGGGCAGCCGGCGGGCGCGCTGGCTATGTGTCCTCAGCTGACCCAGCTGGCTGAATACCGTGCAGAATTGCACAAGGTCAGTGCTGAGTAATACGCTTACGGCACAAAGTCCCATTGTAATGGGGCCACTGACTTCCTGCCCGCGGCGGTGGGACGCAGCACTGGGAAGTCCCTGGCCCTGCAGTGGGACAGGGTCAGTTCCTCCTCACACAACTTGACATGGACAGTGCCGCTCACGTGACAAACCCTGGCACACATGCTGGGACACGAGGCAGAGCCCAGGCACAGGCAGGCACCGGGTCGGGCAGGGCGCCCAGCGGAGTGGGGTGCGGGGACATGGAAGCACCGGCAGTGCTGTCCTGGGAGATGCACGGGAGCTCCTGCCAGCTGCAGCCCAACAGGGCAGCCAGAGGCTCGACAGGCCGGAGCACGCAACGCCAAGAAAAAGAGACAGACGCTAAAAATAGCGACAGGGAGGGGGGAGCCGCCGCAGGTATGGCTGTGCTGTGGGGCAGGGCCGGGTGCCACTGACCTGTGGCATTAAGGGCACCTGTCACATAGTGCGGGTAGCCATGCACAGGGCCAGCACCTCCAGACACTGTCCCACTCGCCTCACACGCTCCTCAGGGCTGCAGGCATGGAGGCAGTGCCTCGTTTCTCGCAGCAGTCCAGAGGAGGCAGCGGTGGCAGCCGGCTCTTTCTCAGGGATATAAATAAACAGGAGAGGAGCTGCGGCGACAGGGCCAGGGTAGCTGCTCCCACGCTCCCACGAAGGGGCGGTTGACACTGTGGATTTCCAAGGACCCCCTGGCCACAGCAAAGGGCTCTCAGGGGAGCTGGCGTCACCAGTCGCCCACGCCAGCCTGGAGCCAGTGTGGCCCATGGGATGTGGGAAGCCCAAAGATGCTTCCTCACGTAGCTGCGCCCTTGGCACTGCCACCAGTCCCCAGAGGACCCAGCTGCGGCTCTGTCACGGTCCCCACTTCCCACTGTCCCAGTGCTGCAAAAAGGGACCTGCTTCTACGGGACCGACAGAGCCAGCACCGACAGAGCCAGAGCCGTGCTGCAGCCCTCGCAGTGGGCAAGGGAGAGGGGCCACAGCAAGCGAGAGCAGGCAGTCACCACCCCCGTGTCCCCCGAGTCCGGGGGATTCGGCCCCACGGCCCTCGGTGCAGGAGAGCGGCGGGACAGTCCGGAGCCCCGGGAGCTGCCCCCGCGCCCCGCGCTATCAGCCGCCGCACACGCAGCCCGGCCGGAGGAAGCACCGGTTTCCGCCACTCCGTTTCCCTCCAGAGAGGAAGCAGCCGGAGAGGGGAGATCCAGGCCCGCTCTCCGCGCCCGGCACGTGCTCCCGGGACAGTCCCGGTGCGCTCCGGCGGGACAGCCCGGGGCCCCGCCGCGCACCGGGCCGCCGCGGCTCTGCCACGGCAGCCAGACCCCGCGCAGCTCCGTGCCAAGGAGCGGGCAGGAGCACCGGCGGCAGCGGCTCCGGGACGGTCGGCCCTGCCCCGCGAGCCCGGGACCTCCGCGCCCGCCCGGAGCCTTCCGTGGGCTGCGGCTGCCCGCACCCGCCGGAACGACCCCGCGGGACCGCCCCGCCGGCCCGTCTGTGCTCGCCCCGGTGGCCGTCCCAGAGCCGCTGCCGGCCCCACCTGGTCTCCCTGAGCGCGGAGCTCGAAGGACGCCTCCTCCTCCTCTTCGGCCTCGCCGTCCGCCTCCCGCTCCGCCTCGCCGTAGTCCCGCCGCAGCAGCGTGAAGCCCCGTCGACAGCACAGCAGCCACCACAGCCCGCCGGGGAACGGCATCGCCCCGCCGACACCAACGGGACGGCACCGGGACGCGACGGGACCGGCCCGCCCCGCGCACCGGCCGCCGGCCCCGCCGCCGCCCCGGGCGGGCCGGGCCGCGCGTCACCGGGCGCCGCCAATCGCCGCGCGCGGCCCGGGGCGGAGCTCCCGCCCGGGGCGGCGGGGCCGCCGCTGCGTCAGCGCGGGGCGGGGGCAGCGCGGGCCGGGCTGCCGGGGGCCGGTGCTCTGCCACCGGCGGGGCGCACCGGGGACCCTCGGCACCTGGCGGGGCACCGTCACTGAGCACCGCCTGCGCCCGGTGTGGGCACCGGCACCGGGCACGGGCCCTGCCCTGCCCCGCGGCACCCGCATCATGCGCTGCCCCCGCTCCTGCGTGCGGCAGCACTGGCGCCTGTCCCAGCATGGCGACTCAGCCCGGTGTGGTGCCAAGTTTGTGCCAGCGGGCAGCACCGTGGGCCCTGTGCTCGGGCAGGAGGGCACCGGGGGCAGGAGG